TATTTTCGAAAACATAAAGGACGTACTTGGAATCAAAAATTTAAAAAATAAAGTCTAAATTATTTTTGGGACCATCAACACAAGCCTCTGTTCGAAACTTGATGCTTATTATGATCAGCTTATTTTGAATGCCAAGGACAATAGTCAGACAAATGTCTTTATATCAAGTATGAGCAATATTTTCGAGGCAAATCCCGGAGATCAAGGGGTTTATTTTTTTAAATTGCATCTTGCAAAACCAAGCAAAACTAAGAACAGTTTAGTATTTGCAAATAAAAGATTAAAAAGGAATCACAGTTAAAAATAAAGAAGTGAATTAGGAGAAATGTTTAAAGTCTACTGATGCTGTTGGGAAATATCGTTTTCTGCATTTATAAAAATACCGTACATACAATACACTCGCATCTGACATTTTGAATCATTTCTCACGGAAAGTTGAGCATTTTGAAGACAAATTATTGTCGGAACACAGAATGATTTTGATTTTTTTTAGCATCTGTCTTATTTTCCTTCATATTGAACAATACGTCTTCGTTTTGTAGACAGAAAAATAATTTTCAGTCATAAGTGCATTTTTCATGTCATGGTTCTCGTTATTGAGAATTTCAATGCATTCCGTGTAATTCAGAAATTGACTTTAAATCGTTCCTCAGCAGTGCACACTTGAGTGTATTTCCTGATAAATTATCAAATCCAATTTCATCGCGTCTTTTGAAATAAAATCATTACAATTCGTTCCAAGCGTCAATTTTTGATAAATTCCTCATGGTTGAACTGAGATATCGAATGCACAGGAAGAGCGACGAATTGGCAGTATTTGGACCTTGCAAATTTCATACTCGAATTACGGGCAGCGGCATTGGGGGGAAAACCTTTTAAAATTTAGGTCAACGACATGAGAAATATTTTTTTAAAGAAGTTGTAGCAAAAAGAAAAGAAAAGAAAAGAACACACAATATACTGAGCATATATGCATACACTCGGATGCTCACTCTCATCGAGTTGGGAGGAGCACCAGTGAATTAGATAATCAGGTTTTCCCTTGTTGTGCGTGTCTGATGCCGAAGTGAAGTTAAGAATAAAACAGCAATTCTTAAAGTTTTTTCGGGATATGTTTAAATTTATCGAGAAACGTTCTGTGGCATCGTCGAAAACAAACAAAAAAGAACGGAAGCTGAAATCAAGATTCTAGTCAAATTAATTGCGCTTTTCAATAGAACTCTAACAGACTTTACAAGAGTATATGCACTTGTATATTCTTTATGATTGGAAATCCGTATCTCGGGAAAGCAAGTTACAATTTCCCAAATGCGTTTTGTCGAATAATTTCCCACAAGTAAAGATACTGCAATAACATTCACAAACCCGATAATTCCTTTATTTGGGGCATCACGAATATCGAAAAATTTAAATAAAACGGTATATGAATTAGCATCAAGCTTCCAAAAATGGTTACCGTATAGTCATTTCAGTGAAAAAATTTTATAATTGACGGAAAAAATCGAAATTCAGAACGCTAAAAAAATCGCACACTAATAAGTATGTGCTGTAACCGTAAAACCAGAAATAGATTGAAAACTTGATCGACCAAATATTTTTAAAGTCTTGAATACATTCTCGCGTCATGTTTTCTTTTCTTTCGAAGAATATGCGTATTTTATATTTAGAAATTTGATTAAACTTGAATCGTAAACCCACGTGCTGACAAAAAACTACATGTATACAATTTTGAATATTCCTCTTGACATATGCTTGCTGCTAGTTTCTGAGACATTAAATTAGAAAAAAAACCGCAGTTCAAAGTTTTTAGCAAGTATTCTTCAAAAACCGTAACCTCAGATATAGAAGTGACTCCATGAATTGAAAAAAAAAAATCTCGAAAAGCCACATGAAAGATTTTCTTACTTTTTCACATCTCTGCTCATTTCCCACAAAAAAGTTTGACTAGATGTCAGTTGCAATTTGCAAATGCAATCATATGTAAATGTGTCATCAAAAGTTTTTCGAGTTTTGCTCCGAAAAGCCCTCAGGGCTGCAGCCATTTTGAAAAGGAAGAACAATTCAAGGAAATAATAAACAACAAGTGCCAAACTAAAGATGAATATCTCGTGCACAGGAATTTATAAATTTCTGAGAGTAAACTGAATAAATTAAGTTTCATACTGAGGCTGTGATGCCATTGAAGGAAACGTTTTAAAATTTGGACTTTTCGGGGAATGAAAACGGAAAAATGCTGCCAGGGATTTTGATCGCCATTTGCTTTTGCTGCATTTTTACGATCGGCTCATTTCAGATTTTTTTGCAATCATTTTGAACAAACTGAAGTGCAGTTACGGTCCTTTATGTAAATGGTTCAAGGCATAGTCTGCTTATAAAAGCACAGCAGCGATGGAAAAATTGCCTTATTTTTCGGAAATGTTTTTTGATTTTAGGGGATTTATAGCTGAATTTTTTGTTTGCAACTTAATTCAAGGTTCTGAAACCAATTGAAATGAGGACTACACTTTCTTAAAAAAAAATATGCTCCAGTTGACACAATATATTGCTATGACCCCAAGTTGATCTTACAATTTATGCTGCTGAAAACATTTTAGAACAGTTAACCCTCGCACAATGGACTTGATTTTTTCAATAGACTAGTATGTTATGTTAAAAGTCTGTTATGAAAATTCAGTTATTAAAAAATAACATTTTTAACTTTTATCATAAATTTTAGAACAACGAATGTCTGTTGGGCAGATTTTGTCCAGGAAAAACAGCTCCCAGAGGTCCTTAAGGCGGGGGTTGACTGTACTAAAACATTCTAGTGTTCTGAGGACAAAAAAAAAAAAAAAACAGCCAGAGATTGCGTTTGACCTAATACAGTTGACCCCACACAATGGACTTAATTTCTGCAAAAGACTAGTATGTTATGTAAAAAGTCTGTTACGCAAATTCAGTTATAAAAAATTAAAATTTTTACTTTTTATCATACATTTTAAATCAACAGAAGTCTGTTAGGAAGATTTTGTCCATTAGGCAGGAAGTAAATCAGCTTCCAGATGTCCTTAAGGCGGGGGTTGACTGTACTAAAACATTCTAGTGTTCTGAGGACGAAAAAAAAAACAGCCAGAGATTGCGTTTGACCTAATACAGTTGACCCCACACATTGGACTTAATTTCTGCAAAAGACTAGTATGTTATGTAAAAAGTCTGTTACGCAAATTCAGTTACTAAAAAATTAACATTTTTACTTTTTATCATACATTTAAATCAACAGAAGTCTGTTAGGAAGATTTTGTTCATTAGGCAGGAAGAAAAACAGCTTCCAGAGGTCCTTTAGGCGGGGTTTGACCTATATTAGCTCAAACCCAATCTCAGGCTTGTTTTTTTTTCTCAGTCCTCAGAACACTTGAATGTTTTTTTGAATTGTTTTTTTGAACTGATTGAGCAAAATAGGTAAATAAAATGAGAGAACTTTCATGAGGTCCCTGATTCCCTTTTTTTTCTCTTCATCATCTCCACCACCACCAGCAGCAGCAGTTGGAAGCTCGCGCGCCCAGATCGAAAGCCCGCAGTTTATTGCTGTGCTTTCCCCGAGCATATATACTTATAAAAAAAAATCTCTATTTTTTCTTTCTTGCTGATGATGAACTCAGTCACACAAATGTTTTTTTCTCTTTTATTGTTGTTGTTGTTGTTGATGTTTCTCCATGATGTACTCCTTTGTGAAAGAAACGTTGGTGTGGTGGAAAAAAAAAAGAAAGGGACTTCCGTTGTCGAGTGTCAACTTCACTGAGTACTCTTCGCCGTCGTCATCGTCGACGTTGTCGACACTGATGTCGACGGCAAGCGAGAGTGTAACTGTTGCACTCATTGTGAATCAAGTGCTGACAGGCGGAGTCTCGTTGACAAATAATAACATCAGGATTTATTTCTTATTAAAAGTGAGCGTGCTGAGATGGAAAGCAAAAAAAAAAAAAAATGAAACCTCTTGATGTGAATTTGAGTGAAATATTTTTTGACAATATATAGAAGTCGTGCATGCCAGTTAACTAAAAATGTATGCATCTGTAGCTGTCGTATCCGCGTCGGAATTTACATCTTTGATTTAATTTTTTGAAATCCCAAAAATCGGATTTTTCCATCAAATGTCTACGTAAATTCAAAAGATCTGAAGATATTTGGAAGCCTCGCAACTATAGGACGGAAGTTTTTCTTGATTCTACGCATTTAAGCCGCAAAATTCGGTACTTGAAATTAGGTCATCCCAATTCTTGAAAAGAAAACATTGGGAAAATAAATTCAAAAATATGGAAACGATCTAAATTTGGTCAAATTTGAGCATTCTTCTGCAATGAAAGTCCAATTAATCCATGTAAATTTTTCCTGCATAAATTTAAGACAAGTATTTGTGGTCTTCGATTACTAAAAGAGAAATCCCAGCTGAGAGTTATGTTCTGGTATTCATCATTTAATCCTGCCTTTTTCTTACTTAGTTTCGGGAAATATATTTTTTATTTCGAAAGAATATTTCTTTTTAGGTTCCCAAGCTCCTAATAGATCGGAAGCACCACTAAAATAAGCTACTTTTGCAGCCTAAAATATAATTGCGTACTTGATCGAATGTTTGTCATGTTTTCAGTGCACAAACTATTCCTTTATCAGATCCATATTCCTCACAGACTGCGTCGCGACGAATCTATTATCGTAGTACTCATTTTAATTTCCTTTCAGACTTTTTCAGGGTAAAGAAACCAGCACTGAGAGAAAGCGACGGAAGATGAATCAGCAAAAAAAATTCGCTGCGTAATCGCGTCTCGTCGGTGTGTCTTCAAAATCGGCGAAAAAAGAATTTTGCGGTCGAGACATAAAAGGCAGAAAAAAGAGAGAAACGTGCAGAAATAGACAGGATATAACTACGTATAGAAAGCCGATATGTGCAATAAGTGAATGCTGGCAGACATGCCCCAACAGACGAAGCAGCAGAATTGCACGGAATTCAGCGGGCGGTCTTAATAATGCAGGATGGCACACGGAGAACCAAGGCGGCGGCGGCGGGGGCGGCAGAGGCGCCGGAGGCAGCGAACGACGACGAGTCCCCCGCGGCGGCGGTCTCGGTCGCCGAACTGGACTTTGACAAAGTGCTTAAACATATCGGCGAAAGGGGCAGCTACCAGTTGTACATCTACTACTTGTTGTGCATCCCGGCTACTCTGCCTGCTGCCTGGCTAGCCTTCATCCAGGCCAGTCATCTCTCCTCATTTTTTTATTTATTTTAAACACCTCCTATTTTGCTGTTGCTATTTTAAATTGAAAATTTGAATCTTCATTTTCATTAAAGCATCCGAGGAGGCTTCATTTAAATTTCAAGTAAAAAAAACAACAACTGAGATCTAGGTTTGTTTTTGAAAGTTGACCAGATCCTGGCAGAAGATTCGTTCCGTTTCTTTTTTAAAAAAATGCTTTTTTATTAAGAAAATAAATAAATTAGCGGTTACTCATGGGTTGACAGCATCCACTTCTATATTGCTTCTTCCTGTATATTCGCGTTCTTTTCAAAATGAAATATTGCAGACGTATATTGTTTTTAAAATGAATGGATCATCAGTTACTCATGAGTTGCCATTTCTACATTGTTTTTACTTAATGCTCTATGAATTTAAAATGAGTAAATCATCAGTTACTCCCAAGTTGACATTTCTGCATTACTTATTATCCGCTATGTAAAAGATTTAGCGTGAGGTACAATATTGTGTGCTAATATTAGCAGACACATTTCAATTATACCTGTGGCATGCACATGGTTTACATTACGCAGAAGTAATAGGTAAAAGTGCTTGAAACTAAAAAAAAAAAATTCAAGACCTTCTAAAAACAAGAAATCCTCGCAAAACTTTCAAACTCATTACATCGTAATAATAGGATTCATGTACGCTCACTTGAGCACCGAAAGAAAAATGATCTGCAAATTATGAAAAAAATATATCTTACACTTCACGATGAAATACAACGGTATAGTCTATTAAGGAAATTATTTCAGCAATTAAGCTTCATTGTTTTTTTTTTAAACCTCAAATGTATTTTTACGAGACCATACGACTGATTTCAATGCCATGAATTTCTCATACAGTATATGGTGCAAACTGTTGTGATTTGTTTTAGATTTCTGGTTTTATGTTTGACTTTAATATTCAGTGTCATTCAGCTCAACGTGGCTGTATATTCATTGGTTTCTTACAAAAAAACAATGCCAATGCACGCAATATTTTTTTTCTACTTCACGTTTGGCATGGGAGCATATTTTCCATTCTAGTAAGATGCAAGTGATTTCTACTAATGTGCATCTTAATTTTACGATCACCCAAAAACGTTTTCTGGCACATTTGTGCCTGTCGATTGCTTTTTTTTTTAATCCCGTCTAAAGTCCTCGTAAGACTCGTCAAACTCTGTCAAACCAAGTGGAAACCTGTTCCCTCATGCTGGAATTATTGGTAAACTATGCCATACGCGACTGTCGAAGTGAAGATACATTTTGTACAGTATACTATGAAAGTAGTGAAGTCATGTTTCGTATGTAGTATCTTGACGATTAGTTTATTCATGAAGCATAAAGACTGTAGAGAAGATGCATATCTGACAATATCAGACCTCCAGACATGGTCTTACATGGTTTATCCCTCGGAAAGCAGCATTAAGAATTTATCAAAAGGTTGATATGAATGATTTGCAATGTAAACAGTGTCACGTACTCGGTGGTTTTTCTTGTAGTGCCGCAAGGTTGAATGAAGAAATGCAAAATCTAAGAGCCAGTAAATTGTGAATTTAAAATTTATTCGTATTAAATTGAAGCAATCCTCACAAGTTCGAAGCTCTAAACTTTTCGCGAATTCTCGGTAGTAGGAATGTTGAAACTTCTTCCTACTTTTTTTCTTTTGTTTGGACTTGATAAACGGTGCGACTCAAAAGTTGCATTGGAATTCGCAATTCGCAAGTTCCAGGCGTAGAAATGTCGAAACTTCCTCCGCGTTTTCTCTTTTGTTTGGACTTATGAAAGCGACTGAAAACCTGCATTCAAGCCGTTTTTTGACAAAAAATACGGTTTCGCGAACCAAGTTTCATATTTCAGTCCCTTTCTTCCCCTAGGAATTTTGTATCCGTCATTTTTCAAGGAATCTGGGCCACTTTATCACGTAAGGAAAATTAGTTTTTAAATGCCATATAATTTGGCCAAAAGCACTTGACTTTGCAAGAATAAAATCCCAAGCCTTAAAAAATTCAAAATTTATCAAGTTAATATAGAAGGAGGGAATTTTTATTTGAAATGCCTCTTTTCTGGGTAAAGTCAGGTCGAGTGTGACAATATTTCACCTTTACTTGAAATTCAGATTATCCTACTGATGAAGATAAAATGAAACTTACTATTTATACAGTTCTGTATTTCCTTTTACATTGTTTGTTTGCATATCAATTTGAAAAAAGGAAACTAATTTGGCTAGATTTATCATGGTGTCCTTAACCCTCGAAAGTTTGTCTTCAAATGGTGTGAATAATAAGTGCCAAGTATTGTCAACCAAAGTCATCAGAATTGTAGCTGAGCGAGAAAAGTGGAAAGTCCAAAAACCTTGAAAAACTACGTATATATTCAGATAGAAAACATCTTTATTTCCAGTAGACCACCAGTTAACAAGTATTTCTGTGGATGAAAGCTGAAAAAGGAAGCTTTTTGTAGATTTTTTTTCACCTGTCAGCAATTTTCCGAGTAACCCCCCCCCCCCCCCACCAATTTCGCACCTGGGAAATTTCATCAGTTTTACTTCAATACTGTCGCAAAAAATAAATGGCTGTATTCCATTTTTCACCCAAAACCTGAGAACCCAAATTCTCAAGAAAATCGTCTTCATTTATCTTTGTGAGAATCAAGGAAAACCTTGTTTCTCAGGTTTATTTCAGAAGCCTTCAAGGCTGTTTTTTACTGCTAAAATCCAGTTGCTGTTTTTTGTCCTTGAAGGACAGTTTTCCTGTTTCCCAAACCTGCATGCAAACTTCACTTCTGCCTGAGCTCTCATGTGTGACACTCAAGGAATTTTTGGAAATAGCCGTGTACATTTTTGAAAGTACAACAACTTTAAAATAGGGTGAAATCTCACCCTGGTTGCAGCCTGACGGAATTCCATCGTTTTATTTACTTTCTCTAAACTTTCTAAACTCAAAAACGTCTAAATATCTACTCAACTCTGAACATTCTATCTTGTCTGGAATTTATTCCTAAAAACAAATACAGTTTCCCGTTTCTTGCCAGCAAATGGAAACAAAATCCCATCATCCCGTCTCATTCATGATCAAAATTGTGTAATCCAGCAGCAAAGGCGGCTGAAAACACCCTGGGGCTATACGTTTTTTTTATTTTTTTATTTATTTATCGCATACAGGTGTTCGTTTCAGCTTCTCCGGAGCACTGGTGTCGAGTGCCCGGGGCAGTGCTGGACTCGAACCTCACATTGGGTCACAGGAAGAACCTGACGGTGCCCCGGCATTTGCGGGACGGTCGCCTGACCTACGAATCGTGTCGCATGTATGACATCAACTTCACTGACTTGTTCCTCACCACTGGCGCCTGGCCCGAGGACGCCAGTCCACTGTGGCCCACTGCGCCATGTCGCTTCGGCTGGGAGTATGATCACACTGACTATGACCGTACACTCGTGACTGACGTGAGTTTCTTCTTTTTTCTGTGCGTGTGTGTGTGTGCTGTAATTTATTATTTTAGTTTTTAGCTCAAGTATAAAATACCAATTATTGCATATGAGACACATTTTCTGGGCCAGAAAATAATTGAAAAGAGCTTTGGTTGCAAATTGGAAATGCGCTTCTGTTCATGTTGAGTTTCTTGTGTAAAAGAAATAATTCCATTGGTTTAGGGTTCAGTGGGCCATTTGAGACGGGGACAATTTGAGACAGAGACAGTAGTCTATCTATCTATATCCAGTCTAACTACCCAGCAAATAATTTGGCCTTTTGAAATGCGTTTTAAATGCATTTCTAGCCCAAAATGGTACGCATTTCAAGCTGCTCCTCTATGTTATGCCTACTTGGGATTTTGAATAATGTGTAACAGATAGGCATTTTGAAACGCCCTCTAGTTACAGCTAGGTATTTATCCAGGCTTAAGTCAAGTTATGCCTGGATAGGATTGATTATAATGCAGAAACGCATTGCAGGAACAGATAGACCATATACAGATACTGCAGAACAGCAGTAAATGTTGGCAATTCTATAGTTAAATTTACTCTAAATTTTACCCTATACATGCACATTGTTGAGTTTACATCTGCTGCACTGCATGCATGCCTCACTTCCATGAACATATTTAAAAAATTACTAAATCCATTTGTCAATTTGTCAATTACATGTCAGCAATTTTTGCATCAAACTTGCAACCCAAATGGATGAGAGTGCAGCATGTTCTTCAAATATTGCATCAAACTTGCATTCTGTGGTAACATGTCCATTTCTGCATCATTTTCATGGTACACTGCTGGTCACAACTTTTGAAAAGTGAATATAAACCTCAAAAGCACATGTGAATGATGCATTTTGGGATTGTAAATGGTTTTGCTGGGGTTCCAGACACTTTTGTGAGACAGAGGCTATTCAAGAATGTTTGAAAATTTCTTGAGTCAGAGACTATAATAGAGCCAGAAACATTTGGACTACCAAAAAGCAATTTGGGTTAAATGGGCAATTACTTTTTAAAATGGAAGCAGTTTATGCTTGTATGTGAGTGGAAAATTCATTTTCTGGGGTTCTGTCTGATATCTGACTCTGATATCTGAGAGATTTTGAAAAATCCAACTTTTCCTTGCTTTAATTCCTCTCTTGATATATTAAAAAAATCTCATTCCATATGTGAAGAAAAACATGATATGATTTATAAGTTATAAGTACAGGGCTTGAAATAAATATGCTAAAAAGAAAAAGACTGTGAAGATGTGTGTGAAGGCTGCATATTATTTTTGTTGTCTATAAAGGGCCCTGTCTGTAATTGTCCCTATAGCTGTCTGAAATTGGCCATGTTTCAAGTTGACTCTATAAAAAATTGGCCCTTTCTCAAGTTTTCCAGTATCAAATTGCCTGTATCCTGTTGGTTTGACTTATGCTGAAGTCAACCAGCTTCATCTTTTCAAAAACTTCATTTGGAAGCCAGAAATTAAACTTTTTTGCCTTCAAACTTAAAATTAACAATATTATTTGATTTAATTTAAAATTTTAGACAGTTTAAATTTAAAAAATTTTGCAGGAAATAGTTCCATGCACTCGTAAATCGAATAGGAGACCAACGAATTTATTCCAGAAGTTTTCAAAGACTCATCACTATTTATTTACCTACGGCAACACTTTTCTGGATACAATTTTTAATGTCCAATTTCTACGCAAATTTTATGCCATGGAAACTTAAGTTTTCTATCTTGTTCATCCCACGCGTTGAAAGATCGTAAGAAAACACTGAATATTTCAAGAAAATGGTAACTGCTTATGGTTTATCATCGAAGCGAAGCAGATATTTAAACTTGAATGGCCTGACTTTTTCATGTTTTTTTTTCTGTTCGCTAGCTTGATGTAGTTTGTGACAACGAATGGTTGGTGACGACTGCCAGCACATTTTTCTATGTCGGAAGCCTGATCGGAAATCTGATCTTCGGTAGAATCGCGGACAGGTAAATGTCTCATTTATATTCTTCATATTAAAGAAAATCATCATTCGGGTCACACAAAAAAAAGTAATTACGAAACCCGTCGTTGATGAAACAGAATGGGCAGAAGAACCGCGTTCTTCATCATCATTGGTTGCCAAGTAACCCTTTCAACCCTCACGGCATTTTCTTCGTCGTACGCCATGTACACAGTGTTGAGAACTCTGGTTGGGCTGACTTTTCCTGCTGATTTCCAGATCCCTTTCATCCTGGGTATTTGAAAAAAAANTCACGACTTGAAGAAGAAAGGCAATTTACTATAGTGACTGTCAGTACAAGTTTTCGTTAACCTTGTTAAGTTAATCTCTATAATTTGAATTTCCAGTGAATACCTGGAAATTCCATAAAAATTTACACATTTAAATCCCCTCGCATGGACTGAAAAATGTTCGGCTCCAACTTTTCTTTTAGTTACATTTTCTATATTAATTTTTCTCTGCTAAACTTTGTGTAAACATTAGAGCTCCACTTGACAAGGGGGAAATATGAAAATCATTATTTAATCTTTTCCGTGAGAGAACGGGTAACTTACTCCTGCAGATAATAAACCGTCAACAATAAACACCTTTAAAAATTATTCTGGAAAATAAATTTCTCTAATTCACCAACACAAATCAGGTCATATACCTTCATTCAGGAACTTATTTCAATGTCACTTTCGGAGTTACTTGAGATATAACTTCAAAATCCTTAAATATAACCGACTGAAAATGCGTCTGTTCCAACTATTACATCGTAATCGAGTTCTTCCTAAAGTTAATCTCCAACATGAAAAAAAAAACTTACAGAGGTTTCTTTTTCGAACGAGAGGAACGGAATAAAATCGAGAAATAAGGGCTGTGTGTATACATAAAGGATATTTCCGAGAGATTTTGTCTGGATTTCCGTGTTCTCATTTGGAAGACTTGATTGAAAAAGCTTCCGACTCCTTCTTTTGAAAAGGTATTGGTGGATTATCCCCGAGAGCCCCAGGTGGCTTTTGACTCAGAACAGGATTGAAGAGGCTGAAGAGATTGTGCAAAAAATGGCAAAGGTCAACAAGGTTCCCATTCCTCCTGGATACCTCAAGTCCATGGTTTCCGTGCACAGCAACCACCACAACGCATTGGTAACACTGCGTATCTCCACAACTCCAGTATACAGTTCGAATGCCCTCATTTTTCCCTCCCGGAGAAAAGAAAGATACAAAAATGTCGGATTCCTCGCAACTATGGATACATTACCTGCTTATACTATCTAACAAACGCTGCCAGCACTTATTCAAAATATTCTCTTTTTCTCCCAGCTTTTATTATAGACTGGCTTATGAAAGATAATAATGCTTATTTTCAAATCAAGATTGCTTATTTTCAAGTCAAGATTGCTTATTTTCAAGTCAAGATTGCCCAATGATATAAAAATCAAAAACAAAAAGAAAAATGGGATAAACTCAGGTGCTAAATATGAAAATGAACTCTTTGCAAATTTTTCATGGAAAATGAGAGAGGAATGCTTTATTAAAATTGATACTGGGGAATAGTTTCTTTCTTCAACACTCGTAACTCTTGTGTAGTATAAAGTTGGGATATTTTTGAAAATTTTTGTGCCACTGAGCACTGGAAATTTAAAAATCCTACTTTTGTACCATGACCTAGTTGGTAAAAAGTCCTATTTTTTCTAACCACCCTGCAGAAAATTTTGAATGAAAAGAAAAAAAATTCCTCATCAGTGGAATTTTTCCTGCATTCCTGTCATAGGATTTGCATGAGAGAATCCCAAAAACAATGGAAAATTTGCTTCCTGGATTTTCCCGATTTTGGCCTTCTGAACCTGGGAGCATTTCAGAGTGACCTTGGGTCAAACTGAAATTCACTGCCCCCAAAAAAATCCTGCCCTTAAAAAAGAACCCTCCACCGTCCGAGGGTTAATACATGCATATGTAACTGATTTTTTGGATTAAGAGGATTTTCAGAATTCTTTCAATCCCCTCCTTCTTTGACCTAGCTACTATTAGAGACTGGCTATTACATTTACCTCAAGCTTTTCTGACACCCAGCCTTTCTTAAAGGCAGATATTGGAGATGAGGAATTCATTTATCAGAGAAAATATAGTATGCATGGAATTGAAGCCAAGAAAATAGATCAGAACCTTTTTCCAAGGAAGAATTCGGCTGAGGAATCCAGTGGCTCACCAACATTATCCAAAAATACCAGGACAC